TGTGTGTGTGTGTGTGTGTGTGTGTGTGCGCCGCTGACGGCTCCTGGAGCGTGAACTCCTGCGAGGGAGAGGTTTGGTTTCCCAGCAGCTCAGCTTTCTGGGTTACTTCCTGTCCCATTCTTTAGCACTTATCTTTACTTCCATTCCCTGGAGGAGCTGCCTTGACAGGGCAGCGGTCCTGCCGTTATTATCCCTTCAACTCCTCAGTATCCTGGGAGAGTGTCCTCCTTTTCCAGGAGAGATCCCGATTTTGATGAATAACCCCTTTCCTTCCAAATTTGTGAAGGCTCTTCCTATTTTGCTCAGCTATTGCTTTTGTATTAACCAATTCTCTTCTTCATTGGTCTCTTTTATGTCATTGTGTGGCTCAGTTCTACTTTTATTTTATTTTTTTTTTTTAGGTTTAAGCTGCCTTAAAGGAGAATTAAAAATAGTGACTCCAAAGAACAAAATAACACAGAAGAGAGAAAACAGCACTCAAAAAGCCCCCAGAAAGGTGATGATTCATTTAGACTCTCAGAGTCATCCTCGACACATGGTTTGGCTGGGATTGGGGCCTCTTGTGTTTTTATGGATTTGAATGGGTAGCATTAGATTTCTTTGTTCTTTTAAAACCTACTTTCTGTTGACCTTTTTTTAAAGTTTGTAAGCTCTGAATCCCATTTGAAGTACAGTTCCTCTCGTAACGCTTTATAGTTTTCCAAAATTATTCTTCAAATGTTGTTTTGATTATGAATTGCTACTTAATGGGGGTTTTGTGTCTTCATCTCAGGGGTGTCACTTAAAAATACTTTGCTCTAAGTTGTTAAAAGGATCTTTTCTTTAAGTCTTTCCATAAATTTATAGGTTCAGCACTGCTTCTGTTTCTGTTTCAAGTCTAAAATCTTTATTGGGCTAGGTCATGGTAACTGCAGTACATTGCTTTAGTCATGCCTCACTCCTGTGTGGGTCACTTTATTGTGTGTGTGTTGTAACGGAGCTGCAAAAATTGAAATTAATTTAATTGGATGGTGTCTGCTTGCAAGTACTTACTTTTTGGGCTGAGATCATAGAAGAAGATGATGCTGTTGGGTGCTCAAGGGGAAAAAATGAAAGGAGTCCTGAAAACCAGTGCTGCTGGTAGGAGGGAGGTTCTGTTTCAGGGGGAGAGCTGTTCGTAGGGAGAATTGCGTGTTCTACGTGGTGAGATGAAGAAATGGATCCTAGGAGAGAGAGTGGGGGGTGAATGATGTCAGTCAGACTTTTTCTGCATCCTGCTGTCAGTGTGCTCCAAAGGATGGAGACTCTGCGCCTTCTCCTAACGCAGGGTCTGTCTTGAAGCCATTTTAATCTGTTTCAAATGTAGGTGAGCTTGGTTTTTTGGCTAGAATGCCCTCCCTGGAGGTCCCTGTGGTCTGTGTCGTGTTTTCAGAGATGTCACTGGCTGTACCAAAACGTTGTTCATTGTTGGCAATCAGTTGTTTTTCAGCATTAGCCTGCAGGAGAAGCAGCAGTGTTTGTCGCCAACAGCCTTGGTCAAGGCTGGATCGTTTTTCCAATACAGATGTCTTTAGATTAAGACAAAAAGTGGTTGCTCTGTGTTGAAGATTAAATAGAAAATCCCTCTGTAACACGAGTGCAACAAATCCTGAGGCACGCTTTGGAAGTGCAGGGAAGAAATTTTCCATGTTATTTTGATAACTCAGGAGTAATGGCAGAACATGTGGACATGCCCAGTGTGATTCCAGGAGGGATTTTCCTGCTAATAGGTGAGGCAGATGTGCATCAGTACAAACTTACCAGTGCAGTTACTGCACAGCTGTTTCATCTGAATTTAGTTTATTTTAACTCCCTTTTCCCAACCCACCCAGTGCCTCTCACATCAGGGCTATAGCTGCTCTGACAGAACACCTCGTGGTGCCCACAATTCATGGGATCTTTGGGATTTACTCACAACAGGAGACCTAAGTTTTCATTTGATTTGTGAATTTCCTTCCTAGTGTGAAATGCCAGAGCAGCAAAGTTTGATTCAGATGCAGAGACTGGAACTGAGTTCACAGGAATCAGGGAATTAACTTCTGGCAGAAATTTGCACATGGCTGAAACAAGGCACAGAGATCACTGAATTGCTGAAGTCCTGCTCTTGATCCCTGGAAGAAATGCAGCATATTGCAAGTATAGCAGCCCTTTAGAGAAAGCTTTAGTCTTCAGTCTATATCCTCATTTTGGGTTTGTTTTTCCTCATTGGGAATTCTCAACCCTTAAAGGAAATGTGCTGTCTGAGGGATGGTTTTGTTTTGTTCCAGCAGTGCTTACAGAATGATATTATCACAGTGAAAATCTTGCTGTGTCCACTAAAGACATCCAAAAAATTTTGTCCACTTGGATTCTTTTAGGCTGTATTAAATAGTAATATATATCAAATGTATTTCTAGAGATTGTTGAATGACACAAACTCTGTAAGCAGCACTCAGTTGCTTTATCAGCTGTGCTGTGAGAATTAGGGCTGAAGTGACTCCTTTAATGTGGTTGGAACTCGCCATTGGTTCCTGCTTCTGTCATTCCTTGCAGTGTTGGTGTTTGGGTGCTCTAATGGTAGTAAATCACGTGAAAATACATAAGTCTTAGCAATTAACACTTGCTACAAATTAATTACTCATAAGGCTAAGCTTCCATCTGACTTTTGCTGTTTAAAACTTAGTGGTATCACTGCTGGAAGTTGGAGGGGAATTGGTATTTTTTGCTTGGTACACGAGGATCTCCAGGCATGCTGCAGAGCACAAGCTCCCTGCAGTTTGTCAGTGCACATCTTGAGGGAGGAGGCTCTGGCTGTGTGAACCTGATGCAGCATTCTCTACTGAAAAAGGAGCTGCAAGGCCTGGCTTTAGCAGCAGCATGGAGGTCCTGCCTTCAGAAGGAATTGCAGGATTTTATTCTCAGGGCTCTGCTTGTGCTTAAGGGTGCCAGTGTATGGGAGGGGATGCTGAGGGTGCTGAGTGGTTGCTGTGCTTGCTGAAGGTGAAGTTTCCCTCAGGTTTGCAGACCTGAAGTTGCTTGAGCTGGGTGATCTCTGATTCTCCATCAGGCCCAAAGTCAGAGCTCACAACCTCTCAGTGAGATGGGTAATTGTAGTAAAATGACACCTCTGTGCTTCAGTTTCACCCACCTGCAGAATGTAACTACACAGCAGATGCTTATTAGTGTGTAACAACACCACCTCTGGTTCTAGGAGCACCTGAAGTTGGTGGGGCACTTGTAAGTTAACTTTTTTGGTTATTTTAAATTTTGTATGTCCGAGCTATGAGCTGGCCTCACAGGAGCTCTCACGAGAAATGTGTAACTTTAATGACACCTTGTGAGGAGTGAAGGCTTCTTCCCTTTGAAGCAGCAGTTCCTCTGTGATGTTTTGGATTCATGCACTGTTAACTCATTGCTTTTTTGGATTCATGCACTGTTAACTCATTGCTTTTTTGGATTCATGCACTATTAACTCATTGCTTTCAGGGCCAGCAGCTCCCATGTGTTGCTTGGTGATTTTTATCTCAACCATAGGGATATCTCTCTTCATGTCTGGGCTGTAGCATGGAACTTTCAGCAGAAAATATATTTGGGATTATAAGGCTCTGTGAAATTTTGATATTTCACATGTTACTTGCAAACTTCACGATTGTGATGTGAGAATGCAAATGACAA